AGTGGAAGCTAAAATTGAGTTTTTTTGTTTATTTTCTATATAACTCTTAATATGGTAGCTGTAATCTGATGGAAAATTAAAACACATAAAGTTTAATATTTAAGATTATTTACGTCATTTTTCTAAGGCTTGGTATGGTAGGATTTATTTACTCCATTTAATTAACAACTCGCCAAAGATAATTAATCGCTACTTTATAATCAAGATAATTCCTTAACTTTAAATTAACTCCCAAAACGCTATAGAATAAAGTTAATATTATTATTTGATCCTTTATACAGTTTAATATAAATTATCTCCAGGTGTAATAATGCTGTTAATTATTCCTTATTGGAAGTATAATTAAAATAATGTTATGTCGTGCGTTATGTAGTTATACGGAGTGAAGATATATGACTGATAATATGAGGACCTGTCTGTCTGTCTGTCTGTCTGTCTGTCTGTCTGTCTGTCTGTGATGTGTCTGTCTGTCTGTCTGTGTGTCTGTTCGTTTCAGCCATAGCTCCAAGAACAGAAGCAGTTAGGTTAGGATGGGTTAGGTTAGGTTTTTAAATGGAAGTATCATATCTAACGAACCCTCTCACCCTCCCTCTCACCCTCCTCCCACCCTCCCCTCCCTTCCTCTCCTCCTCCCCCTCCTTTGCTCACTCTCTCTGTTTCCCCTTACTCTCACCTTTCCCCCCTCCTTCCCCCTTTCCCCTCCTCCTTCCCCCTCTGCCCCTCCTTCCCCCCTCTCTCCCCCCCTTTGCTCCGACAGTTCCCAAATATTGATTCTCTCACGCCTCACAATACTGACCTTTGTACCTGCATAGTTCACCTTTTTTCTCCACACTTAAAGGTTCATCAAGGTGAAGCAGGTGACGTAGGTGATCAGGTGACGTAGGTGATCAGGTGACGTAGGTGATCAGGCCTGGTTAGGTTAGGTTAGGTGACGTAGGTGATTGGGTGTTGTGTAGTTGACAGGTAAATAATTATAATAATAATAATAATAATAATAATAATAATAATAATAGTAATAATAATAATAATAATAATAATAATAATAATAATAATAATAATAATAATAATAATAATAATAATAATAATAATAATAATAAACGGTTTATTAATAGAGTTGCAGCCGGTGGCTGAAAATATACAGACTTACATTTAATTTAGACATAATGATATAATATGCATTGAATACATTTACAGGGCTGTGCAGTACATAAATCAGGAGTTGTTTATTATTTTAACAATAGATGGGATGGTGCTGTTCTTATACCTATCGGTGCGGGCTCTTATGGGCTGAATTTTGTTGTAGTGGCGGACTGGCGAGTTGGGTGGGGGGCTGCAGGTGGCAGGAGGTGGCGATGGCGAGGGTGGTGCAGTAGTCCACGGCCAAACCTTTCCAGTGCTTGGTGGTGGAGGTCACTGAGGGATGGCATTTCCAGGGTGGAGAGAGCGTTGGTGTAGCCGGAGTATTCTGCACCGAGCATGATTCTGCAGGCCCTTTTCTGTACCTTCTCTAGCTGACGTTGTTGGGTGGAGTTGAGAGAAGACGACCAGGCTGGTGACGCATATGTTAGTTTGGGGAGATTAAAGGCGTTGTAGATGGTCCTCAGCTCTGGCGTGGGTGTCCCAAGTGACCTAAGTCTTCGTAGCATGTAGAGACGGTACGAGGCTGCCTTGACTGTGTGTGTGTGTGTGTGTGTGTGTGTGTGTGTGTGTGTTAAGGGACTGCGACACCTGTTTGTTTGAGAGTATAACACAGGTGTTTTTTTGTGTGTGTTTGTTTGTTTGTGTGTTTGCTTGTTTGTCTGTTTGTTTGTTTTTGTAAGTCAGGTGATATAGGGAGTGTTGAAGGATAACGAGGAAGAAGGAATAAGAGGAGAGAGGATAAGAGGAGAAGAGGAGAGAGGTAGGAGAGAGGAGAGGGGGAGAGGGAGGGAGGGAGGGGGAGGTGAGGAAGGAGGGAGGAGGTGAGAGGGAGGAGGGGGAGGGAGGAGGGAGAGAGGAAGAGAGGACAATATGAGAGAAGAGGGAGAGAGGGGTAGGAGGGAAGGGAGGGAGGGAGAGGGGGTGTGAGAGAGAGAGGGAGGGAGAGGGGGTGAGAGAGAAGAGGAGGGAGGGAGGTGAGAGGGAGGGAGGGAGGTGAGAGGGAGGAAGGGTAGGAGGAAGGTAGAGTGGGAGAGAAGTAGGATAAAGCCTCTCATTATCCCTCACTTCTTTACGGTCTGCGAGCTTCTCCCTCCTCTTCCCCCTGCCCCCTCCTCTACCTCCCTCTCTCTTCCCTCTCTCATCTTCCTTTCACTGCACATCGGCCAGTGTCTTTGTAGTGTTTACAGTCTCTCTCTCTCTCTCTCTCTCTCTCTCTCTCTCTCTCTCTCTCTCTCTCAACAGGTATCATGGGGCCAGGTACTTCACCATGGCCTCAGTTCACACACCAAGAGAGACCCCCATAACAAAACATCCTCACCAGAAAAGTCCTTCCTTATGTAGACTCAGTACAGGACGGTATGAAGGTCACCTCAATAGGGCAATTAAGTAGTTGAGGCGTTAATGAGAGTCAGGTGAGGTGTGTGTTAGTGAAAGATGATTAATTTACCTGTGTTTTTCTACAGTAGATTAATTAGGGAGTATTACCTGTATATATTGTTACACACACACACACACACACACACACACACACACACACACACACACACACATACACACACACACACACTCACACACACACACACACACACACACACACACACACTGTAATTAAGTAGTTAAGTCGTCGTGTACAGTAATTAGAAGAAAAAAGAGTCAAGACAATTAACCTATATTTAAAAAATGTCTTAACGAGCTTAGACACGAGAGAGAGAGAGAGAGAGAGAGAGAGAGAGAGAGAGAGAGAGAGAGTAATCAGAAACCTAAGAGTGAAAAAGATTCAACCAGTGACCAAGAATATTGTACTAACCTTAAGAGAGGAACTACCTGCAGAAGGAGCTATAACAAGCTCCTTCTGCAGGTAGTTACCAAACAATATTCACATCAAACTAAGAGGAAGAAATTAAGGTGTTTTTTTTGTGTGTTTTTTTACCATTTGGATTAATAAAAATGGTCTGTTTTTATACGTTAATTATAAGGTAAGTCTCGGTACTCTGTTTACGGGCGATTAAAAACACTTTTTGATGCTACGATAAACATACGGTGAGGTTTAATTTTCTTTCTATCTATGTTTTATCTTCTCTTTTTCTCTTATTATCTTTCGCTCTTTTGCTCTTTCTGTCACCTTCCCCCTCTCTCTCTCTCTCTCTCCCTCTCTCCCACTCCCTCCCTCTCTCCCTCTCCTTCCCTCTCCTTCCCTCTCCTTCCCTCTCTCTCCCTCTCCTGTACAAACTAACTCGTCAACACAGTACACTATGTTCTGTTATCCCGATATTTTGTCTCCTTACCGTAGAGGGAGAACGCCGATAGGTCGATGGTCCCCCCTGACCCCACCCCCCCTGACCCCACTCCTCCTGACTCCTTACCTCACCTCACTCCCACCCCCACCCTCACTCCCCACCTGACCCCACCCCCGGCATGTGTAGAGAGAGTATAGAGGCTGTTGAGGTGTGGGGAAGTGTTGAGGGTGTAGGGAAGGTGTGTTGAGGTGTAGAGAGTGTTGGAGGGTGTGGGGAAGTGTTGGAGGGTGTAGGAAGGTGTGTTGGAGGGTGCAGAGAGTGTTGGAGGGTGTGGGGGAA